CACAGGATCCTAGCCGGGCGGAACAGCCCCAGAAGCCGGCCGATATGCCGGAGATTGGCGCATGTTATCGCGAGTCTCATCTCCTAGGGCGCAGACTGTACCTGTGGAATTCATCAGGAGACGTAACGGACGAGACCCAGGAGGGAGCTCAGACAGCGACCCAGATGACAACGGGGACCGGCGCACCCCTCGGGGAGGGCCAAATCGCAATAGGAGGGGGGAACCCCCAATAGACCCTCGGAGGAACCCCGGGGCAGCGCCAGGCGGAGACCCCGGATCAGGATCAGAGGACGACAGCCGTGAGAATAGGAGTTCCCCCGGGCGTAACGCATCGGAGAGACCGAACATCGCCAACCGTGAAGGATTGTACATCCCCATGCAAGAGGATTTCTCTGCAATAACATTGAGAGAACTATATCATAAGAAGATCCTTAGAATGTTTAAAAGATATGTAGATTCCTATAGAGTCCCTTCAAAGAACATAAAGAATCAGAAGCCGGCTCAACCTAAGGAGTGGCAGGGGGACGATGATGCCGATCGCTTCCTTGATTGGTTAGATCTATTATTAAACTTTTTCATGCTCACCGGAATGACCGGAGAAGAACACGAGGACGAACGGGCCGCGTTTACGACAGGATTCCTGTCGTCGAAGCCTAGGCATTGGTGGCAAACCAAAATAATTAGAGCCACGGCGATTGCAGATCCTGTTCCATTCAAGGAAGGAATTATTAAGTTATTTGATAGATTTGTCGTTACTCTAACACCGGAAAAGGCTCGTAAGAAATACTTAAATGTGTCATTCGAGCCTAAAGATGGGGTACAACAATTCTACGATGAATTGATGGACGCTGCCAACCGTTTACTACAACAGCCTACAGAGACCGATATCTCGGAGAGATTTCTTACTAGCTTACCTGAAGATTACATTGATCACTTAGTTGGACTAAAAGATGTCCGAGTCGGCGTCACTAGGATCGAATTAATGCGAGACTACGCAATACAGTACGAGCTAGCACGGAAGTCCCTCAAGGCGATCCGAGACTTACGCGGAGGACTGCGCAGCAAAGCGCCGACGGCGAAGTATGAATCGGGAGATCAAATCGGGAAATACCGCGGCGGAGATCGAGACCGCTACAGAGCCACGCGATACGAGGGGCCGACTCGCCCAAAGGAGCGCCCCGAGCTACCTCGAAAAGACGAAAATAAAAATACTCGTAACATAGATACAGAAGATTGCGGGAATAGACAGCCAGAGGTCAAGGCGACTGGGGGTAGACCATGGCCCAAGAGCGCTACTATCCTCAAACCAAAGCTGAATCCGCGGTACCCGGAATTAGTATGCCGTCTGTGTTCCGAAAAAGGACACATTGCGATGGATCACTATCCTGACTCAGCACGGATGCACGTAATGGATATCGTAGATGATCGGTCCGATGGAGAGGGCCCAGACGAGTCGAAAGAAGCCCCGGAGAATGAACCAGACGTACCCGAACAGGAGCGTACTGACGACTCCGAAGAGTACCGGGAATCTTACGAAGCACATGCCTACAGCGAATACAGTAGCACTGACTCTGATAATGAGGAGAACGCTGTTTACATGGGGGCCCTACTCGCAGATGGCGAGGAGCGCGAACTCAATAACTCACCATAGCGTCAGGCGTTACCATTCCCAAAAGGGAAGCGCCCGGCCCCGCCGCCCGAAGCTCGCGAAGCCATCAGATCGGCGTTACACAGGGAAGACGGCGCACACCGGCCGAAGTATCCAAGGGAATGGACAGAGCTGCTTGCCGCGTATGTCCAAATTAACGGCGTAAAGGCCTGGACGTTATTCGACCTCGGATCCAATACGGATGCCGTTAGTACCGAGTTCGCACAGATATGCAATCTGGATGTTTTTGAGCTCGAAAACCCCGTTACGCTTAAGCTGGGCTGTAAAGGCAGCAAGTCTAAGATTACGCACGGCGGTCATTGTAGGACCGCCCTAGGGACTATCAATACGAGGTGGTACTTCGACGTAGCCAACATAGCACACTATGATGCCGTTGTCGGCTTGCCGTTCTGTGCTAAACACGGAATCACCATAATGCCCGACAAGCGGACCATCAGGCTTCCGGATGGCCTAGACATCCCCGTGGAGCTTGAAGGAGGACGGATCGGTGGGAATGACAAGTGGGCTCGGCCCAACCCCGCCAAGCCTCGCGCTTCCTTTCGGAAGTAAAGTAACACGTGAAGGACAGCGCCCACGGCCCAAGGTAGCGGTCCGCTCCCACGCGCTAGATACGAAGCTACCCGAAATAGCAGAGAATAACGTACCCACTGCAAGCCGACTCGCAAGTGGAAGAGTTGAATACGAAGAAATCAAGGACATCAAATTTGAACGAGAATTTGAAATAGCATACGAGCAGCACCGCGCCGCAGAAGACGCACAACGGAAGACTCCGTGGGGAATGAGAATACCGTTCCCTGGACCGCCCAGAGAAGCGAGCGCTCAGGAGCCGAAAGAAGGGTCGCCATCACGCGCCCAAGAAGCGACAACGGACGACGTGATTCCCCGTCTCCAAGAACGTTGGGTCGAACACATTCAGGATATTACGGGGGACATTCCCCTTAGGAAACCTCCGTATAGAGAAGTAAACCATAGTATACCGTTAATAGACCCTACTAAGAGATACAAAGGACACCGTCCGCGTTGCGCAGAGGCGTACCAGCGTCTATTACAGGACAAGATACAGAAGTACACGACTGCCGGATGGTGGGAATGGAAGCCTGTCGAGAACGCATTACCGATGCTGTGTATTCCCAAAAAGGATGGGAAATTACGCACCGTGTTCGACCTGCGTGAACGGAACGATAATACCGTTCATGACGTCACTCCGATGCCGGACCAAGACCGCATTAGGAATGACGTCGCTAGAGCCCGATACAGATCTAAGTTAGATATGAGCGACGCGTATGAACAAGTCCGCATTGAGAAGGGCGACGAGCCGAAAACCGCTTTTTCGACAATCATGGGAACCATGATATCCCACGTGATGCAGCAAGGGGACTGTAACGCCCCGTCTACATTCCAGAGGCTTATGACGCATATTTTTAGAGATTACATTGGTGTATTCGTACACGTTTATCTAGATGACATTTTCATATTCTCCAACACAATAGAGGAGCATGAGAAACATCTCGAATTAGTATTTGCCGCCCTCCGCAAGGCGCAGCTGTACCTATCAAAGAAAAAAGTCGACCTATATTCAGACCGAATGGAATGTCTAGGACATATCATAGACGCTGTCGCGGACGGAAGTTTGATGTGTGTGTGGCTGTGTCGAAGAGGCGAGGGGAATTCTTGAGGTGATAGGAGTGTACCACCGATTCTTCAGCTTCTTCTTGCAGCAAACTTCCCTGAGGTCCCGGGCTATCTAAGTCGGGGATTGCTCAGTTGGCCGTCGGTTAATAAACCTGACTTGAATTTGAGGGGACAAGCTTTGTGAGCTCGTCGGCGATACCTAAAGAGGTAAGAAGACGGTTAGCCTGTAGGGGAGGCTTGAGGGGTCTTGTGTTGATGTGTTGTACGACGCGCCGTGCGTCGAAGTTCCTAGAGAAATAGAGAGAGAGATCAGTGGTTCCTTGGGTGGCGGAGGCAATAGAGCGTGGGAAACGGTTTCGAACAGCCTGCGGTGGCTGTGTAGAGTCGATAGCGTCGATATAGAGTCGATAGGGA